GGCCCTACCCTAGATGGGTTTTGGGGCTGCCGCCACCCCTAGGGAGGGAACCCTAGATGGGGGCGCAGCCCCTCCCCTTCCCCTATATATACTTGAGGTATTGGGGGCTGCAAATACACGAGTTAATCCTCTCCCTGGTGTAGCCCTACCTCTCTCCCTCCTCATCTCTCGCGGTGCTTGGCGAAGCCCTTCTGGAATGCCATGCTCCTCCATCACCACCACGCCGTTGTGCTGCTGCTGGACGGAGTCTTCCCCAACCTCTCCCTCTCTCCTTGCTGGATCAAGGCGTGGGAGACGTCACCGGGCTGCACGTGTGTTGAACGCGGAGGTGCGGTCCGTTCGGCACTAGGATCTCCGGTGATTTGGATCACGACGAGTACGACTCCCTCAACCCCGTTCTTTTGAACGCTTCCGCTTAGCGATCTACAAGGGTATGTAGATGCACTCCCCTCTCTCTCGTTGCTAGTCTCTCCATAGATAGATCTTGGTGACTCGTAGGAAAATTTTGAATTTCTGCTACGTTCCCCAACACTATGGCATGTCCGTTCCCCGCATCATAGATCCCACTGGCTACAAGTAATTGAAGTTCCTGCCTCAAACGTGGCTGTGTGGATGAGATTTGAATAATACTTATAAGAGGGGATTGACAAGATGCATGCATATTGCGGGGATTCTTCTCACTGGACATGGAGGCAGGGCCGCTGGGGACACGTGATTTGCAGCTCGCTAGCATTCCACTGCAATAAAGATGGAGAAGATGAAGAGACAAAGAGTACAACCTGAAGGTGTGCATCGATCTTATGACGATGCGCGTGTGCTGCGCCACCATCCTGGCGACCTCCTGCCCTGGAGGAAAAATTCCGCGTGCCCTCGAGGTATCCGTACTCACGTACGTTTATGGTGATTTTGATGGTGGTCCAAATCATGTGACCATCCAGGTTACTCTGCATGCGCGCTGGCCTAGACCTACTATTCTTTTCGCCGGACAGAAGGCGGCGCCTCGGGCACGAGCGGCATCGCGGATCTTGAGTGTTGTGATTGGAACCAATCATGATGGGAGACGGCGGCGGCGACGTAGGGGCCGGAGGAGAAGGCATCGCACGTATGGCCGAGCAGCTTGAAGACGCCCTCAGCGGCGGCGGCGAGGTTCTTGTCCGATTGTATGAAGATGTTGCTTTTGACGGCGTCGGCCATGGAAGCCCAGTCCATGTCGAGAAGGCGTGCCAGTAGCCCAGGCGGCCTGGGCTCCCGCCCATGGCAGCGTGGACGTCGGCGGCGAGTACGTTTGTTGTGCCGGTGAGCAACACGATGAGCCGCTAGGCCAGGCCTTTGTTCATATTAACGCGTCGTATTTGCGAAAAGGATTTCTGGGAGGAATATCCAAGATGATTTTGCTTTAATTTTCTTCGTTTTCTACCTTGATTAGCGGGAGCAGTAACTACCTAATCTGATGCATGCTTCCACCGATTGCTCCTCCACGTGCATGGTTGTTATTTACTTCCCATTTATTTTTCCTTTTTCAACGGTGTTATTTATTTTCCACACGATATTTGTTTCCTTGTTTAAGGAACAGGACGCGGTGCGATGACGTTTCATCGTTGGATTATGGAAGCGGCAGAGTTTTCGTCCGCCGGACAAATTGCTAAACACACATTGGCCCGAGGGTTAGCATAATTTTAACGGTTAGATCAAATTAGATGGCCCTGATCGTGAGGCTGTAATTTGTTCGTGTTGTTATGTATACGTTAGGCTGGGTATACATAGCGATGAATATGCTAGTATAGAAAATAATACCATGTGAGACACGAGTGTGGCAAGCATTATTGCTCGATCTGCTTCCAACCCTCCTACAGTCTTCCTCCTCGATCGGCTCCTCCGTTCTAGTACAAGTGTACAACCACCCAAGAAATTAGAACTCCAATCGACAGAGCATGCGTCCATGGCTACCAGGGATGAGCAGCGGCAGCAGCTCCAACCCCTGCACATCCTCTTCCTCCCGTTCTTCGCCCCCGGACACCTCATTCCGGTCGTCGACATGGCCACGATATTCTCCGCTCGCGGCGCGAGGTGCACCATCCTCACCACGCCCGTCAACGCCGACATCATCCGTCCGGCCGTCGACCGCGCCAACGACTCCAACTGCCACGGCACCGACTCCCCTTCCCCTGCAGTCGACATCTCCGTCGTGCCTTTCCCCGATGTAGGGCTCCCCCCAGGCATGGAGAACCTCATATCCCTTACTCCAGCCCACGGAGCCGACTACAACTTCAAGTTCATCCAGGCCGCGCAGCTGCTCCGCGAGCCCTTCGACCGGTTGATAGCTGCCAACCGCCCCGACGCCGTCGTGTCCGACAGCTTCTTCAGGTGGTCCGCGGACGCCGCCGGGGAGCACGGCGTCCCGCGCCTCGTGTTCCTCGGTAGCAGCGTGTTCGCCCGGTGCTGCAGCGAGACCATGCTGCGCACCAACCCGCTAGAGACAACGACGGCTACCACCGACGACGACCCTGATGACGACGCCCAGCTCGTCTCCCTGCCGGGGCTGCCGCACCGTGTCCAGCTGAGGCGGAGCCAGATGATGGATCCCAGGAAGCGGCCGGCGATGTGGGCATTCCACAAGGACAACGATGCCGCGGACCAGAGGAGCTTCGGCGAGGTGTTCAACAGCTTCCACGAGCTGGAGCCGGACTACGTCGAGCACTTCCGCACGACGCTCGGCCGCCGTGCGTGGCTCGTGGGGCCGGTCGCGCTCGCCAGCAAAGACATGGCTAAGAGAGGCAGCACCAACAACACGAAGGCACACGTCACCGACGACTGCCTGCGGTGGTTGGACGCAAAGCGGGCCGGCTCGGTGGTGTACGTCTCCTTTGGCACGTTCACCAGTTTCTCGCCGGCCGAGCTGCGCGAGCTCGCCCGCGGCCTGGACCTCTCTGCCAAGGACTTCGTGTGGATCATCAGCTCCGGCACAGGCACGGACGGGTCAGAGTGGATGCCTGAGGGCTTCGCCGAGCTGATGGCACGCGGTGACCGCGGCATCATCATCCGAGACTGGGCGCCGCAGACGCTCATCCTCAACCACCCCGCCATGGGCGGCTTCATGACGCACTGCGGCTGGAACTCGGCGCTGGAGGCCGTGAGCGCCGGCGTGCCGATGGTCACGTGGCCGCGGTATGCGGACCAGTTCTACAACGAGAAGCTCATCGTGGATGTGCTCAAGGTGGGTGTCAGCATCGGCGCCAAGGACTTCGCCTCGCCTCTGGAGAGACATGAGGTGATCGGCGGCGAGGTGATCGCTGGATGCATCGGGAGGCTGATGGGCAGCAGCGAGGAGGGCGACGCCTTACGGAAGAAGGCCAAGGACCTCAGTGTGAAAGCAAGGAGCGCCATGGCGAAGGGTGGATCTTCGTACGACGACGTCGGAAGGCTGATGGGTGAGTTGATGGCTCGCCGGAGTTCTGGAGAAGTCACCCGGGCGGCGAGTTTTGGTACGCCTGCCGACTGACTAGTCTCATTGCAGAATTAATTACGAGTAGTTATTACAACATGAGGTGGCAACATCGATCCAGAGGCAGCCTGAACTTTCTTCCTTTTGTACGTTGGCGATCTTGGCTACGGCAGGCACCGAGGACGTCGTGGCATGTTATAGGTCGCTACTTGCAACGTGTGCTGCCAGAAGTGTTGCTGACTGATGAAACGCCGTGGCATCTTGCTTGCAATTCAATATCGTTGTACGATTGAAATTTACAGGCAGCACCGGCGGCTTGCCGCAAACGCCGTGGCGTCTCTCTCTCTTACATCTCTCAGCAAAAATATAAAGAAACACGGAAAACTCCAAGGGGGGACATAGCGTACTGTCACGCTCGTATCAAGCTTTGCGCCCATGTGGCCCAGTGCATAACTCATTTAGCTTGGTCTACCTGCTTCCCCCGTCAGATGGGGAACTCAATGCGGTCGAGCATGATCCATGCATTTAGGCTAGTCATCATAATGGGAGTAAAGGTATCTCCAACGCGGCCAGTAAATAGCCCGCATCCCTTCGAATTATGCTGTCCGGACTGCGAAAGCCATCAACGCGGTCCTGTATTGGTCCGCGGGTTGTCTAGATGTGATTTTTCTAGTAAATTAAAGACAAAATGGGAAAGGTTTGCGGGAGTCCGAACACTCGAAATGTAAGACTCCGACACTCCGGGTCTACCCAATCCCCCTTCCGGTCTCAATAGAAGTACAATAGCGAACAATTAATCTAGTCATCCTAAACCTACAAGTCCAACACACACACACACACACACACACACACACACACACACACGCAC